AAATTACTTCACTTTTTGCACCAAATTTTGTCCTCCTTCATTGCACTCCAGGGCGTAATTCCACTTAATATCTACTTAATCACCAAGAGCCAGTCATCTCGCTCAGCTTTGATTCAGCATGTTTTCTTGCATCCTTTTAACATTTTTTTTTAAAGAAAAGAGCAGCACACTTGTGAGTGTCTTGCTAATGAGCACATGTCAGTCTGCATGTTGTATTACTAAGTTCACCAGACTGAGATGAGCGCAACTTTATCAAGAGTATAAGCAAAATGGAAAGCAGTCTGGGTACTTTCAAAATGGATGCTTATTTTGAGCATAAGGCAAAGCTTCAAATCGGTGTTAGTGAGTTTAACATTACAGATTGCTTAAAATTTTTGTGAGGAAACTTGGCTTTAAGTGATTTTTTTCTATGTGGCTTTTGTTTTAGTTTTTACAAAGTTGGAAGTCCTTTCATAATGTGCAACTGGACACAAGTTAGCTTGGACATTTATATCAAATGCCTCTTTAGTGTGATTTTTAGCATGGAAGCAAATTTATTTAGTTTTTTTTTAGTACAGTTTTGTTGTGATGGTTTGCTAGCTTATTTTGCAGAGTTTTTAGTGCATAAACCAATTTAAACAAAATCTTACTGGTCAACTTGATGTAAATGAAGTTATTGATATTCTTATTAAAAATAAATTTCTCTCTCTCTTAACTCTTTTACACTCTAGATTTTTTTTTTAGTTCTTACAGTCACATGTAATACTGTGCCATCTCTTTTCTATGCCTTGCTGTATCATAGTGGCATATCAAAGTAAACTGCAGGGAAATAAATAATCTTCCATTTCTGCAATTTTTAAAATGCAGTCCCTTCCAGGCCTGAAGTCTCCCGTGGAAATCTCTGGCTCAAGTTTTGAAGATTTGGAGGTTCAAAGAAGAAAAATGATCAAAATGAGTTTGGCAAAAGTGAAATGTGCTGCAGAGGAATGAATTAATATCTTCTAGCTGTAAAAGTACTGACCTTCTTTTGAACAGGGCCAGCAGCCAAAACAAAGTGAAAACATGGATGGCAAGCATTGTCATCTTCTACAGGAAAGTGATTTAGACTTCATTTTTTTATTTATATATACACATATATGTATGTATATGTGTGCGTGTGTATATATATATATATATATATATATGCACATATGGGTATACATATACACAAAAGTATTTCTGGGAAAGCAGTGAATTTTTTTAATTTAGAGAGACTGTGTTGATATTACTGTTAGTAGAGGTGGGCTGGCCAGACATGCTTCTGTTGCATATAAATCCTTACCACGTTGTTGTTGTTACAATAGCTACCGCTATGAGTAGGTACAACCCTGATGTGAGTAGAGCAGGGTTAAAGACTGGAGGAGGTGATTTCATCTCGCAGGTCACATGTACAGGTGTAGCACACTTTACTGCATGAATGTGAGGCCCCCACAAGCAATGTGCTAACCTTTCTTTCGACCTGTCATCATGGCTCATGTTTTCTGATTACACATCCATCTCCCGTGTCTTTCCAGCTAATTCCCATTTCTCTTAAAATGCAGTGTCCAAAACTGATGTGACTACAGTTGCAGTGGTAGAAGAAAATAATAATCTTGCATAGAGTACGTGCTAGGTTTCTAAAAACAAACAAACAAAACAACCCCCCCAAAATCTCACACAACGCACACACAAACCAGTTCTCTGTTTCCCAGGGTAATACTTACCTTTCTTGCAATACTGCATTGCTGACTCAGGTTCAGCTCTTGATCCCCTGCAGAACTGCGTATCGCTAGCCAGTGAAGCCACCTCCTGCGCTGGAAGAGCTGATTGGTCCTGCTGGGAGTAGCGGTTGCTGCATGTTCCTATCCGACATTTTTTTAAGACTGCTTCTCCAGGTTGTCAAGATAGTTGTCAGTCCTGGCTTCCAGTGTGGCTAGCCCCTTTACACCTGGCTTTCTGTACAAACTAATACAGACGGTGATTAGTACGTAACTCAGTGGAATAAAAATGCTGATGAATGACAGGTCTCGGACAAACTTTTGTGGAGTCCGTGCTATCACCACTGCAATAAAACAATCAACCACTTAATAACCACGAGTCAGACTTTCTTATAGCTCAGTAAAGCGTGCATTGCTCTTTCAGGCTTTCCACAGGGCACAATTACTGCCTCATGAGGTTCCCCGAGGGGACCAAACATCCCACACCTCGTCTGTACCAAAATGTTCTGCAGATTTTTCTGTGCTGTTTTGGCCCCTATGGCAAAAGCTCCCAGCAGCTCTGCAAAGTAGCCTATGATTTTACCAAAAGCACCAGTCACAGACCACACTGGACAGGACAGTACAAGCTATGGTCAGGCACCTAAGATTTGTGTAAAGGTTTCCTGGAGTCATTCTGCCTGAAGATGCACACTGAACTAACTTACCTACCTTAAAGGAAATTACAATTGAATTTACAGCTGCCTCATTTGACATGATGCTGAAGATAGTAAAGTACACTCGAAGTCTCTACGATGCAATTTTTCCAGGTGCATACTTTATTGTCTGGTAATTACGACATCACCCCAATCTCCAGCCCCATACAAAAAGCAACAGTTAGAAATGTACACACTAACCCCATTTTGCCATTTACCGCCACCACAGCTTTACTTGACAACCTTACTGTACTTCTACACTAGCATTACTGCTTCCATCAATAACTCATTTACAGCACAATCAGTACCAGTGGGTAACAGCCACAGGGAACTGCCATACTGTCTGAACAAGGGAAGGTCAGCTTTACATTGGCCCACAGGCACGTGCATATCTAGCTTTATATGACAACTTGGACATTATGAATTTATTTGTGCAAGCATCCAGTAGATTGCCATTATGGGGTGAGGGGGAGTGAGGAACAGTGGCCTTATATAAACCTCAGCACCATTCCCTGCTATAATGCAGACACAGTGTAAGGAATTGTATGAAACACAGAAGAGAAATATACTGAGAAAATTTAATTAATAAAACCATTACTTCTTAAGGCTCGCATACTCCAAAGCAAAGCTCATCTCTTAAGTTTGCCTCTGTTGATCGAGAGCTTCTAGAGAAATGCACTCATGGGTCTTGCTTCTATGTAACACAGCGAATAGCTAGTAACCTATTTAGTTCGGTAAGTGTATGTTCTTAAACCTATGCATATTTAGAAGTCACAAAACAAGACTACCTGTGACAGTCAGTGCATTATCTGAACAGATTTGTTTGCAATGAGCTAAGTTAAACTTACATGAATTTCCCCACTGCAGACCTCAGATGCCCATTCATGGCACTGAATAAAAACGTCAGATAGCACGGCCAACACATGCTGATGCTCTGATAACACACTCTTACTTGACTGAGGATGGAAAAAAAAACCCTAAGAGTGGATTTATACTCGACTAGGACCCCACTGACTGAGATATGCAACGGAAGATTTTATCCGAAAAGTTTATATCTCACTTGGGAAAGGTAGGAAAAAAAGCTGTTAAGTTGGAATTTACTAAAGATTTGGATTCCATCTTCAACTGCTGTGAAAATTAGTTTGAACTGTGAACCTGCTAGTGAAATGAACACATTCAAGAGCGTCAAACCAAACCAGAGTGAGCGGTTACTGTCTTACCATTCTTTCTCTGAATATAGCAATCAATGAATTCTGTGCACAGAATAGGGATGTTTTAGTATTTTGTAAAGTTTACCTAGCATTAAAAGTGTTTTCAAGGGGAAAATCTGAGGAACTGCATTGCTCCGGAACTGGACCTCAACATGAGGTTAGGACTAAATAAGACTCTCTCCCATTTATCTGGGAGTTCTAGTTTGGATGTATCTGTGGAAGTGAAGTTTCCTGCTGGAGAGTTTAGTCAGGCCTTCTACAGCTTTCTGCAGAACCAGGACAGAATCTGCTTGAAACACCATTTGGACAATAAACAAACATTTTATGCTACTCCAAAGACTTCATTCAAAGGTAATAAAAACCTAAATAGGCATTTTAGCTGTTAAGGCATAAAAAAAGCTTTTCATTAAAGAGTAAGTTAAGTATTCTACAACAGAATCTCTTCCTAATGTTGATTTATTATTACTGGATTATGTTCTGCTGAAGAACATATGCTTTCACATAATAATTAGGCTTTCCCTTAGTGACCAGAGTTACATTTCATTCAGCATTATAGTTATTTTGCCCTGACATGAAATATACTGTCCTACAGATAAAGTACTTTCACAAGTGAGACTGCCTTAGTTTTGAAGCTGATTTGAGGAAAAAAAAAAAAAAGAAACACAAAACCAAAAAACCTAAACCTCATTTACAGAATTTGGTCCTTGGCAGAATCTATGCTCTGTGATGCAACTACCCTACCTGCTCCTATCTTAAGTGGTCTCAGTATTCTCAGCAGTTGATGCACAATAAAAATGCCCCTGGCAGACTTAGTGATGTTATAGGAGGGAAAAAAACACAGAGAATGTAAAACAAAAAAAATTTTAATATAGCTAGAGCTGCTTAGGAACACCTCAGGAATGTGGATGACATGTAGCAGCTATTTTTTGATTCCTTTCTGTATTAATCATGGACACAAGCTGAAGTATTTCTGGGTGAACAAATTTTCCTGCAAGACAAAAGAAAGGGAAAAGTTAATTAAAAGTGCTCTCATTTTTCTCTGTGTGAAAGGTTAGCTCTGAAACGTTGGCAGTGATGTTGCTTTAGGCTCAGAATAAACTTGAAGTTATTTTTTAAGAAAGACAGTATTTCTATTTTACTCCAACTGTGGAATAACTACAAGAGTAGTTACAGCCATTTTTCCCCAAAAAGCTTATACAAATATTTCTTGCTCTGTTAAGACAGAGCTAGAAAAGGGCTGCACCCTGACTGGAACAATTCCATGCTATGTATTCTATTACAGGAAACCACTCCAATTCAGGGACTTGAGATCATGGGTTCACTTAGGGTATATGCCCTAGGCTCTACTGAGAAACTAGCTTGAGTTAAGTTACTGAATTCTAGCAAGAGGGGAAAGCTGTCAATTAGAAAACTAAGCATTCACCTTTTCTGATGTACTGCTTTTTTTCCTTCTTCCCCAATCAAATCTTTACAATTTTTTAGAGAGCTTATTATTTCCTTGAGGAGTCACCAAGGTAGAAATAGGAATTTTTTAACAGATACAGCGTCTGGAGATTGCTGGTCCTTTCCCTGACCTTTCCCTTCTCTCTAATAGTCTGCTCCTATTTTTTCCCAGGACAGGATGACTTGGAGTCCTAGCCCTGTTCTTGTGTTCAACTCTCTTGCTAAAATTTTAAAAGAGAACTATTTTATCTATGTTTTCATTTTAACTAACCATTTAGTTTATTTTGGAAAGCATGAAGAGCAGTAGATAGAATAAAATGTAGTACAATTGCACCTAGAGCGCTTCACTGAGCTGGTTCCCACATACACTTTGGGCAGGCCATACAAGACCACAATCAATGTAGGGACAGCAAGTTTACTTCAGCAGCTTGTGAAACACTAGCTTAGAATACAAGCAAGCCTCTGTCAAAGCATCAGTGAACACTGAAGGCTCCTTTAAACCCCTCTAGTGGTACAGAGAGAGCCTTAAATACTTGCAAGTGTAATGAAGGCTGGGCTTCTCTCTAAATCCAAAGAGATGTAAAAGGAAGTTGGTATAAATGCAATCCATTTTCAACATTTACAGATAAAAGTAAGGTGCTTTCACACCACAATAAGCTTCACCAAAAATATTTAGTGTTTACTTCAGTAATCAGTAAAACACCTGTTTCTCACCTGCTCTGAATGTCTATCAAAAAACAAAACAAAACAAAACCAAACAGACAGACAAAAAAATCAATTTATATATTGATTTCCTTAAAAAAAATCTTCATACCAGCAGTTGAATCATAAAAATCCTGTAGTCTGCCGGGTGCCTTTTCCAACTCTTCATACTCAAATGCTTGCAGTATCATCTCACACTGATCCAACTGCTTTACAAACTTGGCTTCTGCAGTAGACTGATTTTCATATTCCTGAAGAGATGTGCAATTATAAGAAATTTTTGTTTGCTGTTCTGAAACAGAGTATTAGAAACTTTTTATATCTAGAATTTTCTTCATTAGTAAAAGCCATTCCATAAATATTCAAGACAGAGTTACCTCTTTCACTCTCTTTTAAAGCCTGCTATTCATCAAAAGACTTAAAAATTAAGTATGTGCTAAAGTTCTGTTAAATACAGTAGGATTTAAGGACACAACTAACTTTTGCATACTCAAACATGTACCAAAGTGTTCTGCTGAATCAGGGATTAGATAGAGACAAGCCAGTCACGATATACAAGTTAAATAATAGGTTCCATATAATAAAACTTGTATATATAAAGACTTTGTCAAGGTTGGCTAAGACTATGAATCACCATAGCATGTGCCTATGCATTACTTTTACATATTTTTAAGAACTATTTTGCATTGTTTTCTGCCACTTGTTATTTTCATAAGGAGTTGTTCCAAATTTTCTTGTCACTCATTCTTAATCGCTTTGGTCTAATCTGTCTGAGCTGCATATGTCTTTCTTGCTCTCCTGGGAGACAAGGAGTGGTGTTGTTTGGGGTTTCCTCCCCATAGCACTTCAAGTCCTTTAACTGCTCTGCTATCTCTTCCTTCTCTCCATTCATTGTCATTTTTATTGGCAAGTCATTCACCTTACTAGTCAACTTGAACAATATTGCTGTCATTTACCTCCAGTGATGTTTGCAGACAGACTGGCCATTTCATTTTCCTTTTTCAAAATCTATGGTGTTGTATCTGATGTCTCTTCCACTGGTCTGCTCCTGGCTTTCCAAACCAACCGCAAAAATAGGCTACTTTCTCTGTGGGTTATCAGCACCTTGCTACCCTCAGCAGGTCTGACCTCACTCATCTTCAACATCAGTAATAATCAAACCAGAGACACACCAGGCCTATCTGTGCTTTCAGGTACACATAATCAGTTACACACAGAGCAATTCTACAGATGAGAACAGTGCTACTGCAGGAAGAGTTTTTCCTACTGACCCACAGAACATGGCAGGATTTTGGCAGAACCTTGAAACAGACAAGAAAGTCCTTCAACTGCCACCAGAACTTAGGCCACTTCATTGAGCAGAATTTTGTTTTATATCATGAGAGGCAGGAATAAACAGATTAACAATAAACTATTTCTGCATGTTAAGAAGACAATGGGGAACGTGGCAAGATCCTGGTTTATAATTCCAGCACAGTGATGGTCGTGGCATGGTCATTTGCTTGTCTGACATACTATCAGGAACCTGCTTTATTACTATGCTTACTGCTTTACATTCTGAAGTTAGAAATCCAGTTTTTGACAGCCATGATTGATTTGTATACTATTCTATTTGAATTTAAATGATATTTTAAAATTTCAATTACATTGAAACAGTTTAGTCAACAGTATCATTTCAGCAATTTTACCTTCCCTCCCCTCCTTTCCTCCTTTCAGTCTGAGATTTGCCTCATTTATTAATTGTTTTAAAACTACCTCTTATTTCTCAAATCCATTTATTTCTACTATTTTCATGCCTCATGTTTTATTCCATTTCATTTGTCACCAAAAAGCACAAACTCTTCTGCTAGCATTATAAAGGAGAACTTCATCACTGCACAGTCCAAAGCCATAGTCTTCTCAAGGCTGTAG